CACCGTCTCAGTGTCCTCCGTGCTGCCCGCTTTCTCTTTCAGGGAACTACGAGCTGGTCAGTTTGCTGCTGAGCCGAGGCGCTGACCCCCTCCTCAGCATGCTCGAGGCCCACGGCATGGGTTCCTCCCTCCATGAGGACATGAACTGCTTCAGCCACTCAGCTGCCCACGGCCACAGGTACCTGCCCGGGATTCCCACCCTGTGTGACATGAGGGCACTGAAATAAGCTCACAGGAGCCTCAGTTTCCCCGATGGGAGCAGAAGAGCTAGGCCCAGAGACCTTTCCCAAAACAGGGGGCCTGTGTGCTCATAAACCAGAAACATGGGGGAGTTTAGCACAGGGGCCAGAGATGGGGGAGGACCCACAGCTGCTTCCTGGCAGACCTGGGACTGAAGCCTGGGCCTCCCGATGCCAAGGGCAGACCGTCCCGTTTCCCAGAGAGACGCCACTCTGCGGCTGCCAGAGCCCACTCAGGACCACGCGGCTTCCCATGCCTGCTGGTGGTCCTCCAGTGCCCAAGCGGCCTTGGGCGTCCAAACAGCACATGGCTGAGCTGTGCAGAGGCTCCTGGTGCAAAATTGCACCCTACCCCAGGTACAGATGGTAGAGCTTGCTTTGTGGGGACCAGGCCTGCCCAGGGGTGTGGCGGGACAGCAGCAGGCTGAAGTCAGGGGCAGCATGGAGGGGCAAGAGGGAGACCAGACAAGGGGTTATTACAGGACAGAAACGGGGCCGGAAAAGCAGGGCTGGCAGGCAGGACACTTACTTCCAGTTCCCCGACACCATTCTTGTCACCAGGCTCATGCTCTGGCTGGGGTCCCCTCCCCTAGAATGCTTTTTTCTCCAGCTGTCTCCAGCCCACCCCCACGTTCACCCACCTCAGCCGCCCTCACCCTCCAGGCACCATCTTCCACATCGCCACCTCTAGGGCACTCCACCCGCCCAGTGCCGGCATCCCCCATGGAGGCCTCTTCACCCTGTGTGGAGACTGCCTGCCTGCTCATCCGCCTGTCACTCTGAGCACAGGACTCCTGGGACAGGCACTGTGGCTAGTTCAACTTCACGTGCCAGTGCCCAGCCCAAACAAGGTGCTCTGTAAACTGCCTGAGCTAGCAAGTCCAGGAGCTCTTGGGAGGGACCTTGGGTCCTTGGAAGGGCACCTCCAGGCCATGGGCTTGGCAGGGGTGAGGAGGGTCTGTGGGGTGGCCATGGAGAGATCAGCCCCCGGGAACCTTGCAGTCCCACCCATACGGCATCCATCCCAGAGCCCCAGGCCACAGGACGCGACAGAATGAGCCTAGGTCTTGGAACCAGAAGTCCTGGGTCTGTACCCCCACCCGGAGTGGCCTTGAGCAAGACAGATCCATTGCCTGTGACAGTGATGTGTGTAGGCTCTCACGAGGCTAAAAGCAGCAGCAGGGGGAAGCGTCCTCCGTGGGGTCTAATGTTCTGTGTCTTCATTCGTAAATATGAATAAATTCTACATGACCTCCATCTCCAGTTCATCCTTATCAACATGAAGGGACCAAATGAGTACTTACCGGGCTCTTCCTGTGTTTTAGACACTCACGTGCATAGTCAGCTGCTACTTAGAAAGACCTGCTGTGTTTCAGGCTCTGCATTTAAACCCTTTACATCAGCCTCACATGAGCCCCAGGAAAGTGTGATATAGTGACACCCTGTAATACAGATACCAAAGCAGTCAGGGCTCAGAGAGGTAGAGTGACCTGGCTAAGGTCACACAGCCAGGATGGCAGAGCTCGCTCAGCCCCGAAGCCTATGACTTCTCGGCAATACCGGGATGGTAGAAGGGTGGGTTCCCCTGCACCCTGCCCTGCCTCCTGGAGGTGTATGGGGATCGGTGACCCTGGGACCCCTGGCCTACCTAGAGGAACACCATGAACCTCTGAGCCCTCGGATGCCCCAGAGCAGCCCATCGGGGCAGGGGGGTACTGGGGGACAGCTCAGGTGGGCACTGCCTATGGGACCTCAGCCCTCGCCTTCATTCATCCCTGGGCCCGCAGGAACGTCCTGAGGAAGCTCCTGACGCAGCCGCAGCAGGCTAAAGCGGACGTGCTGTCCCTGGAGGAGATCCTGGCCGAGGGTGTGGAGGAGAGCGACGCGTCGAGCCAGGGCAGCGGCAGCGAGGGGCCTGTGCGGCTGAGCCGGACCCGCACCAAGGCCCTGCAGGAGGCCATGTACTACAGCGCCGAGCACGGCTATGTGGACATCACCATGGAGCTGAGGGCGCTGGGTGAGGCCGCGCGGGCGTGCACACGCATGTCCATGCATGCATATGGACATACACGGTCACTCCCAGGTGCTCTTCAGCAGGCCTGAGAGGGCCAGGGCCCGCAGGGACAGACAAGCCCCAGGGCAGCTGAGCACAGACAGGGTGGAGGCTGGGACCCCCCAGCTACACAGCCAGGTCAGGAGGGGCCCTGGGTCTCAGATAGTGCTCAACAGTGCCACGTCTTGGGGTCATGGCCCAGCCCTCTGCCCTCGGGTCCTCCACCCTGCCTGGCTGGAGCTTCGCTGCCCCTTCCCCAGTCACAGCCCAGGGATGTGGAGCGCTGGGAGCCTCTGCAGCCCCGGGACGCCATGCTGTGAGACGGCAGTCCTGTCACTCGGCTGGCCTTGCACTCCTTGGGTCTGCGAGTCTGTGGACTTTTGGTGTCCTCCAGGGAGGCTAGTCAGACAGACTTAGGTCAGGTCCTGTGTTAGCTGCACACCACGTCCTCTCTCCAAGCCTCAATTGCCGCCTCTGTGGGTTTGGTGCTAATGATCCTTATCTAAGAATGGGGTGACATCACCTAAAGTACAAGGCACGGTGGCCACTGTGAGCACTTGGTGGATGATAGCATTGTCACTGTCATCACAGGGCCACAACCCCCAGGGCTGGGCCAAGACAGCAGTGAGTCAGCCTCAGTGTTCTTCACTGGGAAACGGAGACGTCACCCCCACCTGCAGTCAGTAACCCAAGGGTAGTCCCACCACCACACTGCTGTCCATGTGTCGCTGGGGAATGCCATCAGTTCTTTAATCCACAGCGAGGCTGGGGTAAGAAGCTGTCTCTCCAATTACCAGGGACATGACTAGTTTATGTCACGAACTTCCCACAGCAATTTTAAGTTATGGCCCCGTGGACACACGCTGGGGACCTGGTAAAACAGTCATCATGTGCCCGGGGATGTGCAGCGACATTCCAGTGATGTGTGTGCTGGGAGAGCGCCTCGTGATAGGACCAGGTTCATTTTGAGCTTCCGTGCAGGCGGGGAGGCCTGTGTGTCCTTGAGTGCCTGGCATATTCTCTGGCCATCCAAGCCCTCCTGGCCACCCCTCCACAACGATGAGGCCTCTCTAGCAAGTCATTTTTGAGCGCAATAAGCAACAAAGGCTACTATGGGTGCTGGGTCCATGCTTCAAAATCCCCAGGCTGGGCCATCAACTTTCAGAGCTTGAGTTCCCTGCATTTGGGCCGAAGCCACTCCTCCACCTCATCTCATGAGAACCTGAAACTCCACTCTGACCTGCCAGCAAGACCTATTAGAATGAATTAAAGCTTTCATTCCATGGCCATCCTGAGAGGGCCACTCAGCGCACAGGAAGGGGGCAGGTGGGAGGGGGTGGGCGGGGTGCTCTGCAGACAGCAGGGGCATCCTGGGAGAGTCTGCCCAGAAAAGCCTGTGGTCTGTGCCAGGAGCTACTTGGGAAAAACAGCTACCTTGGTGTGAAGCTGCCTGCCACTTCACCTGGGCCAGGAGTCCCCTGGAGCTGCACATCTGGATCGAGTCTCTGAGGACTCATGCCACTTGATCCATGATACTCGGTGGTGCAGAGCCTCTGCGAGGGACTTTAGCTCCATCAAGAGGAGGAGTACAGCTTGAGGAGCTGGTGACCGAGGGCTTGCAGCTCATGTTTGACATCCTCAGAATGCTCAAAAGTGAGTGTGGCCAGTGGCCGGTTCCCATTCCCTCAGACCATGGACACACAGATGGACATAGAGCAGACATGTGGACAGACACAGGGACCCCCCTTTCACCGCCCCACACGCCTGCCCCCAGCATCCAGGGACCCTCCCCACCCAACACACACCCACACGCCTGTCCCCAGCACCCAGGGCCCCCCTCCCACCCAGCTTTTACGCCTGCCCCCAGCACCCAGGGACCCCCCACCCAACACACACACACACACACACATGCTCCACCCCCAGCACCCAGGGACCCCCCACCCAACACACACACACACACACACACACCCACACACACACCCAGAGCACCCAAAGACTTAGACCTGCACTGCCTGGCTGAGGGCAGAGCCACATGGATCTTATCTGGGCTGCACACACACACAGAGCACCCAGACTTAGACCTGCACTGCCTGGCTGTAGAGGGCAGAGGCCATGGGTGTGTCTGGGCTGGAACCTGGCCAAAAAAGCCATTTGGGGAATCACTGAGGAAGGAACAGGCGTCTCTTGCCAAGCCACATCTAGCAGGAACAAAAGACAGCGGCTGCACTCATCCTGGCCTGGACTTTTGAAATTAGCCTAATGTATCTACATCTGTGAACAGCCAGCCACAGCAGGCAGCTCACAGGCCCTCTCTCCCCTCCCCACAGAACGACTCCGTCATCCAGCAACTGGCTGCCATCTTCACCCACTGCTATGGCAGCAGCCCCATCCCCAGCATCCCAGAGGTCCGGAAGACCCTGCCGGCCAGGCTAGGTGAACGCCCGCCCCCCGCGCCCTGCACTGCCACACGTCCTCCCCCTCTTCCCTTTCCTACACCCTCCCCACTTTGTCGTCTTTCCATTTCCAAGTGTCAAGATTCCAGCCTCAGTTTCTCTGTTCCTCACCCCTATGTCCCACCCCCAACCCCAGACACACACGCACCTCACAGCACACACAAGCAACCCCCAGCAGGGGACTCCTCGGCCATATCCCTCTGTCTTCCCGCTTCCCACAGATCCACACTTTTTGAACAATAAGGAGATGTCGGATGTGACCTTCCTAGTGGAAGGAAAGCTGTTTTATGCACATAAAGTCCTGCTGGTGACAGCTTCTAACAGGTAGGCAGCCTCAGATAACAAACTCCCAGCCCATGGCACAGAAGCACCTTGTTTCAGATTCGAGGTGACAGAGAGTGACTCGCTGGGGCTGTACCCTACAGCCTGTGCCCCTCAGACTGCGGTCACGTGGCAGCAGAGCCCCACTCGCCCCACAGCGGGACAAGGCCGGGTGGACCCGGGGCAGCAGGGAAGGGGGGCTCTGAGGTGGTGTTCTTTCTGACCGAGTTATTGCTTTGATTATTAGCAAACATATTCTGGAATGAAGAGTCAGCATTCTGGCCACAGGAGTCAGGTCGCTTGTATGGTGGGTGGTGGGGACAGAATCGGGCTCAGCCCAGATGTCTTCCTAGGATTGTGTAAAATGGCACTCGCTGAAAATTATTTTAGGAGCACAGCAATAATGTTTAAAATGCTCCGTCTCATGGCAGCCGGTCAGGTGACAGATGGTGCCATCGCCACACAGTGGTGGAGTAAAAGGTTCAAAATCCGCCTTGCTTTGTCTCCTTTACTCCAGGTTCAAGACACTAATGACCAATAAATCAGAACAGGACGGGGACAGCAGCAAGACCATTGAGATCAGCGACATGAAGTACCATATTTTTCAGGTGTGTGGGTCTTGGTGCCGCCCTCTTCTCGGAGGGATGACCCTCCCCCAGGAGCTCACCTTTGTGGGCAGCTGTGTGTAGGCTGACATTGTCCACTCTATTCCCAGTGCCTTCTGTATTTTGTTGAATCAATAGAGCATCCAGGTCTTTCTCTGTGCAGAGGCAGCCATCCCGTTGTGGGGCTGCAGCTTCAGAGCCTGTTGCATGGGCACTGAGCTCTAACCGCTAGACAGGTGGTCTGGGCAGCCTGCAGACAGACATGCAAGGACAGACACAGGCCACACAGCCGTGGAGTGAGTTCTTGTTATCAGGGTGGGCTCCCAGCCAATGGGCATTTCTGAGACCTTGTTGGAAATGCAGAGCCCCAGGCCCCGCCCCAGCCCTCCTGCATCTTCACAAGATCCCCAGGTGGCCATGTGCTCAGTACAGTTTGAGAAGTGCTGCTGGAGGCTGTGGAGGCTGTCACTTCTCCCAGGCATCGAACCCCAGTCACAGTGGTCGAGCATGTGGCTGTGAGGCGCGCATCCTGATTGTAGAAGATCAAAGTCAGGTCTTTCGGGCTCTAAGCTTTATAAAACATACAAGGCTACGTACTAGAAACTCCAGTCAGGGCAGACAAGGAAGACAGGAAGAGACCTGGCTGGGATCTCAGCTGAACCCCACTGAGAGGAGCTTTCTAGAAAGTAGCAACTGCAGGTCTCCAGGCTGTGTGGTGGGCTCAGGGCTGGAAGAGCTCACCCTTGTGGGCTGGGACTGAGGCCAGGAGGCAGCTGGCGGGTGGGTCTAGGGCCTTGCCCTGCACAGGAGTGGTTTGTGATATAATAGGAGAGACTACAAACCCCAAAGAGTCTCAAAGAAGCACATGGGGCCACCTCTAAAATGGCTTTTTTTTTTTTTTTTTTGACAGTCTCACTCTGTCGCCTAGGCTGGAGTGCAGTGGCACAGTCTCAGCTCAGTGCAACCTCTGCTGCCTGGGTTCCAGTGATTCTCTTGCCTCAGCCTCATGAGTAGCTGGGATTTACAGGCACCTGCCGCTGCGCCTGGCCAATTTTTGTATTTTTAGTAGAGACAGGGTTTCACCATCTTGGTCAGGCTGGTCTCGAACTCCTGACCTTGTGATCCACCTGCATCGGCCTCCCAAAGTGCTGGGATTACAGGCGTGAGCCACCATGCCTGGCCTAAAATGGCTTTTTCTTTCTCATGCCCTCACTAGTCACTTATCCCCATGCTTGTGTAGCATTTAGACATTTTGGGGTGAATACCACAGCAAACAGGACAGAGACGCTGCCCTCAAGGTTTTAAGCAGTAGGATGAGCTCACCATCACTAACACTTAGGCAGGCAGGGTTCTAAGTGCTTTGCTTGGTTTCCATTGAAGCCTCCACAGCACAGTTCCAGGGAGGTAGGTATGTTATCGCCTCTTGATAGAGGAGGAGTCAGAGGCATGGAGAAGTTGAGTAACTTGCTCAAGGTCACATAGCTGGGAAGTGATCGAGCCAGAATTCAAACCCAGGATGTGCAAAATGGCCAAGTTTGCATTTGCAGCAGTAAGAAGGGATGGAAGGGGGCATGGCCACCTCCGGGGGACCCGTTAGGGGCTGCAGAGGAATCCAACTGAGTGACAGTGGTGACCTGGCTTGGCAGTGGCTGGGGGGATGGAGGGAAATGGACCAGGGAAGAGCGGATGGGACTTGGAACTTGGTAACTGACGGATGTGGGAGGAAGGGAGGCCCAGGATTCTGGCATAGGCCACAGAGTGGTGGCGTCTCCCCTTCCCTCTTTTCCCACCCCTTAATCCAACTCACTGGAGAATGGGCAGCTTTAGGAACATGTCCAGGTGAGTGGAGCGGGAGGTGGAGTCACACTCAGATCAGGCAGAGGCAGGTCCTAGAGAGGCTGCAGGAATCGCTGGAGACTGGGGGGCACACATGTGGCCACGGGTGACCACTGCCTGTAAGGGAATGTGTGCAGGCTTGGTCGCCTGTGCTCACCCACCAGGCCAAGGGAGGGCATCTGTCGCAGAACAGGCTCAGCAGCCCCTTGGCACCTCCCGGGGTTGCTGGGAGGGCAAATAGAGGACAGGCTTCAGCTCCACAGCACACATGTGCCTTCCCCTGGGCCTCTTGCCAAGTTCTGGCCGACTGTTCTAACCAGGCCCAGGGCACTGGCCCCGTGGGTCCCCTGGGTACAGAACTTCACCATATCCGGGGCATCATTTCAGATGGGGCTTCCAGACCTCAGCTCCGGTTTTCCGGGCTTCCCTGGAGGCGTCAGCCTGGAGCTATTAATCTGGGGTCAGGGTTCCCTAACAAAGCCTGAAAGTTTTCCAGCAGCCCCCAGATATCTCATTGGCTCTCATGTTGGCGGGGTGGGGTGGGGGGTGTGTGGATCATTATTTTGTTTTCTGGAGGAGGAAACAGAGGCCCAAGGACCTCTAGGCAGTACTGTCGGGTAGAGTGTGCGGCATACATTGTAATTTAAAATTTACTACTAGTCACATAAAAAAGAGCAGGTGAAATTGACTTTAGTATTTTTGAACTTACAGTATAGCCAAAATATTATTTCAACATGTAATCAATGTAAACGTTACTGACAGCCGAGCACAGTGGCTCACGCCTGTAATCCCAGCACTTTGGGAGGCCGAGGTGGGCGGACCAGCCTGACCAACGTGGAGAAACCCTGTCTCTACTAAAAATACAAAATTAATCCCAGCTACTCAGGAGGCTGAGGCAGGAAGATCACTCGAACCCTGGAGGTGGAGGTTGCGGTGAGCCAAGATCGTGCCACTGCACTCCAGCCTGGGCAACAAGAGCGAAACTCCGTCTCAAAACAAAACAAAAAAGTTACTGAGCATATAGCCCAGAGGGCCCGAACCCTGCCCTTCCAACATGGTTTCTGCAGTCTCAGCTTCCAGGTGGCCCACTTAGGACAGAAGGAAACCCTGCTGCCCTTCTACAGCTGGTCCTGTCTGGGGCCTTTCCTCAAGCAGCCCGTCTAGCCCCGCAGGCTGCCTGGCTCCAGGAGGCACATGACCTGTATCCTGCTAGGGACTGCCAGGCTGTGCAAAATTCACCCATGTCTGCCTGCTGGCTGCCCAGCTCCCACAGCAAGGCTCCAGGTGAGCCATTCTGATCTGACTTCTGTGGCCTCGTATGCATTCAAGTGGCCTCAGGGAGATCCATGTGCCACGGATCCCAAGACTGGGCCTTGCCAAAACCGAATCCTAAAATGCAGCAGGAGGTGGCCTTCCAGGCCAGGAAAGGAGCTGCAGCCTAAGGTGGCTGGTAGGCCTGGCCCCAGGGGCTGCCCCGAGGCCATCCCTTAGCAAAGAATCCCAGAAGGAAGATCTGACCTGCCTGCCTGGTCCCCCAATTCCAACCCTGTATGAGGGGCATTCCAGGCACTGCCCTTGCTGGTGCCATACCTTGCTGAACACTCATTCAGTGCCCTGCATGGGGAGGGCAGAGGGACGCAGGCATGGCTTGCCCAAGGCACACACTGTCTGGAGGGAGCAGACGGATACTTACTATGCAATCGTGAGCTCGCCATCCAGGCTCCAGTAGGGGCTGCAGAAGGCCGTGGGAGCTTCTCAGACCTCTAGAGGTGGGGAGAGGCTGACATCTCCAGGGTGGGCCTTGGCCAGCGTCTCCTGATGCCTGAACGAGGCTGGCAGGCCCGTCTCCCGACTTCTCTCCCTGCAGTTGGGCCTTCTCCTAGACCCTCTGGTGCCTCTGCAGCCTCACGGCCGGTCTTGACAGAGCCCGACTGTGCCGGCTGGAGCCGTGTTTACTTACACACTTGCCAGCTCCTTGCTGGGGCCGTTTCTTCAGCCAGCCAGAAAGAATCGTTTTTCTTTTTCCAACTGGGAACTTCACTAGGCTCCAGCGTGATGGCCGCGTTTGTAACTGAAACCTCAGCAGAACTAAATAGTTCCCGGTCCTGGACCACCTCATCTGGGAGCCCAAGGCGGGGCTCAACCTGTCGAGGGGAGCTCCGGGCCTCTGGGCCTGGGCTCTGCGCTTTGTTGTTGAGGGAGCACACCTGAGACAGAGTCCGGATGGACTCTTACCTCCACATTGGAGTCCTTGTACAGACAGGGGAAGGCAGCAGACAGCGTCCTCCAACATCCCTTCAGAGACCCCCCACTGCTACTCCCCATGTAGAATCTAGATCATACCAGCAATGAGTCACGTGGGGCCAGGCATGACGCGAGTCCTGCTGCAGGCATCAGGGGAGCTGAGGGACTTGAGCCAAGTCATCTTCCTTCCCTGGGCCTCAGTTTCCCCAACTGCGGATAGGAACTTCCCTCCTGGGCTCACGGTGTTCTTATGAGGATTGTAGGGAAACATTCCATGGAGGGAGCTTGTCATCCAGGCAGGGACTCAGGAGAGAGGGTCTTGGAGTTGGCTTCTAGAGGTGGCGTTCCCGGGAAAACACAAGTCTCAGCCTGAGCAGGAGAGGGAGGGAGAGACAGAGCTGGGGACCTGCAGAGGGACAGGCCCCTGGAGGTGGCAGCTGGAGCAGTACCCTGTGGGGCCGGCAAGGACTTTCATGCCTCAGGTCCACGTGGCATTCACCCGGGCCTCTTCCCACCACAGATGATGATGCAGTATCTGTACTACGGAGGAACAGAATCCATGGAGATCCCCACCGCTGACATCCTGGAGGTGAGACTCGGGAGAGGAGGAGGGGGCCTGCGCCAGGGTCCCTGCCTGCTCCGTCTCCCATTTACCCCCTTCACAGAGGTAAGGTGGCTCTTCTTCTCCATCTGACTGGAAGAGTGATTCCCAGAAACAGGAACTGTGCACACCGCTGAGCCCAGCCTCAGTGCGTGCCCCAGCGGGGGTGGTTAGGTCCAGGTGGGTCGGAAGGTAGTGGGGCCTGAGGGCGGAGGCAGCAGGGCACATGGCACTCAGGAGCTTTCTGTTCCATGCTGCCTGGGCTACTGGTCTGGCCATGGGTCCCCAAGACCTGCTCTGCCTCCCTACCAGCTGCTGTCAGCTGCCAGCCTGTTCCAGCTGGATGCCCTGCAGAGGCACTGCGAGATCCTATGCTCCCAGACCCTCAGCGTGGAGAGCGCCGTGAACACCTACAAATATGCCAAGGTGAGGGCCAAGGATGCCTGCTGGCCACCTCCCACCACATGCTCTGCTCCACGGGGGCCTCGGCCGTGTGGCCACACTGGGGATGAGCTAGGAGATGCGGGTGGCCAGGCTGCTTGAGGGCAGAGTAGAGGCTGAGGGAGGGTAGGCAACTCTGTAGCCTGGGGGCACTGCTGCCCACTGGCCAGATGGTAGCTTGGGAGGGGAGCTTTTGAGCCAGGTGCATCCTGATTCAGATTCCAGCTCTGCCACCTGGGCAAGTTGCTGAGCCTCTGAGTCAAATCAAAGCCATAAGTATTTACTTTTCTCCCCTACCTGTGCCTCCCCAGCTGCCCCATCTCAACAAGCGACATGGTCACTGCTCAGTTGCTCAGCCTCAAAACTTAGGAATCATATTTGATTTATAAAAACCCTCCCAAGTGCAAGCCATGTACCTCTGAAACACACCAGCAGTTTCTCCACTTCCCTTCATCTCTACTGCCCTCGCCTTGCCCTAAGCCACCACCATCATTGTCTTGGACAATGGCATCAGCCCAGCCTCCCTGGAATCCACAAAGGCTCCTGCCTCAGCCCTGCAATCCACAAGGTTCTTTTAAAAGTTCAAAAACCATGGCCAGGCACAGTGGCTCACACCTGTAATCCCAGTACTTTGGGAGGATGAGCCAGGAGGACCAGGAGTTTAGACCAGCCTGTGACACATGGCAAGACCCTGCCTCTACAAACTAGCTGAGTGTCGTGGCATGTACCTGTGGTCCCAGTTGCTCAGGAGGCTGAGGCAGGAGGACCACTTGAGCCCAGGAGGTTGAGACTGTAGTGAGCTGTGATCATGCCACTGCACTCCAGCCTGGGCGACAGAGTGAGACTTTGTCTCAACACACTCCCCCTGCCCCCCAAGAAAGTACAAAGACTGTGTTACTCCCATACTTAATCCCACCAAAGGTTTTCCACCTGCTGCACACTAAATAATAGCCAGCCCTTATCATGCCTTCCAAGGCCCCCAAGGTCCTGCCCACATCTCCCTTCACTCCACCATGCTTCCTTCTCAGCGTGCCCAGACCCCAGGGCTTTTGTGACACTTCCCTTTTCCTGTAAAGCTCTTTCCCACCCTTCATCTTCATCAGCTGGTGTCCCCAGGCCTCCCCTGGCCTCTCACACGCCATCCTGTCACGTTGGCTTTACTTCCTTCACAGTCTCCAGCACTGTCTGCAGTTACCTTGTCTTTGGTTCCTCAGATTCTGTCTCCCCCAAAATAGGACATCAGCAGCACTGCAGAGACCTTGACCTCTGAACTGAAAACCCAGAGCGGCCCCTTGATATTTGTTGAGTGACATCCTTATCCAGCATTTACCATGTGCACACTCACATGCCAGGCCTGGTGCTGAGCCCTGGACACCCAGTGGTGGACAGTCCCCATTCTTGTTGGAACTTCCAATCCAACAGGGATGACTGCCACTTAACAGGGCAGCATGACAGTATGACACAGGCAGGAAAATGACGGGGGCTGGAACAGTTCAGATATAGCAGAGGTGGCCTCAGGATGCAGGGACAGGGAACGCCTCCCCTGGCCAGGGTGGGGCTTAAGCAGGGCTGTGGCCATGGGTAGGTAGTATTTGGGGGTGAGGGTGAGTGGGGCTGTACTAAGGACATGAGCTTCACCCCTCCTCTCTCTGCCCTACAGATCCACAATGCCCCAGAACTGGCCCTGTTCTGTGAGGGCTTCTTCCTGAAGCACATGAAGGCCCTGCTGGAGCAGGACGCCTTCCGGCAGCTCATCTACGGCCGCAGCAGCAAAGTGCAGGGCCTGGATCCACTGCAGGACCTGCAGAACACCCTGGCGGAGCGCGTGCACTCTGTCTACATCACCTCCCGGGTGTGAGGCGGGGGCGGAGGCTGCCGGCGCCAGGGCCTGTGGAGATGCCAGGGCCCACCAGGTCAGGCTATGGTTGTAGACCCTCTTGGAGCCAGGGTCACGGGGCTGTTTCCTCCTCCTTCCCCAGATGCCCCACCTGTCACCAGACAGCGCACCCTCATCTCCTCTGCTCTACAGCTGTTTGATAGGCAAAGGAGAGATGTAGCCAACTGGTGGCCCTCCTCCCCATCCCAGTCTGCCCCTCAAGGGCAGCCATGCACTCCCCCTGCGTGTCGCTCTCCCCTCCTGCAGGTCAGCAGCTGGTCCTGATCCACCTCTGCCCAGGCCCTCCTGGGGCCTCAGTAAATTCAGACCATCCCAACTGGGGCTCTTGGGGGTGCGGGAATCCTTATGAATGTATAGAATGCATACTGTCTAGGCCCCCGGTCATCTATAGTAATTTAAAAGTTGGTATTTTTCTTCCTAAATGTCACATAGCAAAGGCTGCCCAAATCCCTGAACTTTTTCCTCAAAGGTTTGACAGGCTTGATGTGGGCATCCAGTGGCCTGACCCCCCCGTCACCATGACTGCTGCCACCCAGAGTCCCCCCATTGTCTTTGGTGCCTGGGCTTCCAGAGTACCTCCCATCAGGACTATTGGCTTGCTCAGTTAGCAGCAGAGGGCATTTCCTCAGCTGATGGTTTCTGAGCTAAGTCTGGCATGGAGAGGCAAGGGGTAGAGGATGGGGTACTGTGTAGGAATGGCCTCAGCTCTTGTTTTGCTGTGGTTTTAGGGGTCAAAGTAAATGGGTGGATTCTGGAACCTCAGGCCTAAACTAGGTTGCCTTTGTGGGGCCAGGAAGCAGAGCCCCCTGGTCAAGTCTCTCCGCTCCTTTAATGTAGAATTGAGAGCTGGGCAAACACTTCCCATTGGGAACTGTGGCTCTTGGAGATAAAGGACGGGGCATTGATGGAAGATAAGGGCTGAGAGAAGAGGCCTTTCTGTTGTGTCCCTCCCGGCCTTGCCCTCGAATTCTGCAGGCCCCAGGCTCCCCTGATACCTGTCGTATTTATGGACCAGACACTGGGGCAGCATCAGGCACAGCCTGTCTGGGTGCAACTTCTTCAGCTGTCTGGCGGCACCTTAGAAACTATTTATTCACCAAAAGCCCTGGGCAATTCAGGAGGTGTCACTCAGGTCACCCTGAACAGCCCCAGGGGCTTGCAATCCTGGAAAATATTTTGACTAGCTGCTTGGCTGGATGTACAAAGAAATAGGCATTATTTTATTGCTGTAATATTGTATGATACTTTAACTGTACAATAATGTCACCTACTGTAAATGTACTATGGTTTTATTAACAATAAATACTCATTAACAATGACCTTGGCCTCACTGCTCCTGAAAGAGGGTTACTCAGAGTTCAGAACTGGGGAGGAGCCCTTAGGACCAGGAAGAGATCCCAGAGCTGACTCTCTTACTCAGGTCTCCTGCCTCTCAGAGCCAAGACCCTACCAAAGCCATTGCTGTGGCCACCCAGCACTCGCCTCTCTCCATTCCTCACCAGCCCTCGCTCACATTTAAGCACGTATGTATGTGCCACTGAGCTGGACAGGTACCAAATGACTGAGGAATATGACACCATCAGGCTTTCCTTATCTCCACTCCCACCCCCTCCACAGCCCTTTATGTGGGAGCTATTTTGGGGGTTGTCTTCAGAGGTGTTTGCAAACCCTGGCACATCCCCAAATGGCAGAGCCCAGCAAAGTGGCGGTAGGGCCTCCTTCATCCAGGCCCGACCTGGCCTGATTTGAGGGACCTGTCCCTGGGTGAGTGTTGCCTCCAGGCCCAGCTGAGCTAAGCTGGCTGTGCCACCACAAGGCCACTAGCAGAGGTAATGGAGGGAGATGGTGAGGCGCCGACTCAGACCCAAGAGTGTTCTGGGGCCGAGGCTGTAGTTTTAGGTGCAAAGTTCAGGCACAAATACAAGTTTTTAAAACATTCCCTGCCAATTAGCTGGGCATAGTGGTGCACATCTGTATTCCCAGCTGCTCAGGAGGCTGAGGTGGGAGGATCACAGAGCCCAGGAGTTCAAGGCTGCAGTGAGCTATGATCACCCCTGCACCTCAGCCTGGACAACAAAGCAAGACTCTCTCAAAAAAAAGTTGCCTGCCTGCAGAGGCAGGTATAGAAATTCCTAAGGTCACTGGGAACCTGAAGCAAAGTGGCTGTGGGCCAGTGAGTGGCCATGACTCAGGAGTTAGGGGAATGACATAAAGATCCCAGTCCCTGGGAAGGCCAAATTCCAGCAGAGGTTGTGCAGGAAGCTCGAGGCCCAGCCTGGGGCCCTGGGGCCGCACAGACCCATGGTGCCCTCTGGGGGCCACTGGGAGGGGGCGCACTCCCCCACACCATCTTTCTATGCAGTGGCCAAGAAGGTGGTAGAGCAGGCCGCCCCTCCCCAGCACTTGTCATACAAAGTGGCTACCCTTCACGAGTCTGTGTCCAGCGTCCCCACAAGTTGCCCCATCCCTGCAGGACATGCCTCGGTCAGTACCCAGTCCAGAAAGCAAGATCTAGCTGCATTCTGGCTCCAGATGAGGGATCAGCCCTTTCCTCTCCTGAGAGGGTGAGTGGGGGGTTGAGAGAAAGTGGAGGTGGGAGAGAGGGAGCGGGCCCCTTGGAGCCTGTAGGTAGCAGGAATACATTTTTGAATAAACATTAAAAATTAAAATAATTACCCCCCCCAAAAAAAAATCAGACATGCTTCCAAGGGGCTAGGACCCAAACAGAAATGATCACTTACCCGGGCAGCTGGACCTCCTAATTCGGGGCCACTGCTCACTGCCTGCCTGCTCCGCCTGCTATGAGCAGCCACAGGCGGGCTCGGGGGACTTACCTTCTCACTGGAGCCCTTGAGTACCCAGGTGCTGAGCGCATGGGTTGCATCCACAGGGATTTCACTCCGCTTCAGCAGGTCCACAGGCAACCATAAGCTGGCGCCTTAGCCGTCTCCAAAGCAAGCGCCTCTCCAGAGGTGGC